GTATACATTCTACACTTTGAACAGCTGAAGAGTGGAGATAAACTGGTACAACTTATGGAGGATTTGTTTCATCTGTGTATCACCTGTGGTCAGTCACTTCACTGGGTATACAAAAGGGTTTACAACGTTAAGTTCTAGCTTTCTGCAATTAATGGTTTTGGTAATGGCCATTAACAGAAATCTTTAAATGTATAGCTCTATTATTTATTCCAGTTTGTGGTTCAGATTGAAAACCAGAGACGGTAGAGTTTGTTCTAATTACTATTAGAATAGCAGTACTTTTTTTATTTTTTATTGTTTGTTTTGTTATTTAAACACTGACCTACCTGACCCTGGACCTATCCATAATGTTTGCTCACCTCTACCTTTACTCATTTTACTAGTGTAGAGATGCATGTGGTCCTGACAATCAGGGTTTGGATCCTTAGATCCACAAACACACAAGTCATAAACAAAGCATATTTTTAAAAGATTGCTCATTACCAATAACAAGCACTGTTCGTTTTCACGTCAAATGTCATTTTACTCCTCTAAAACCTCCAGTACATTTTAGACAACTAAAATCTCCAGAACATTCCAGTAATCTCCAAGCAGCAGGCAGACAGATGGAGGCTGCGTCTCTCTGCCAATACAGCTTGCCAAAAGAGTCAGGAAGCTGGTGCTTAACAGACAGGCAGAGCTCCAAGGAAAGCGGAAGTTCAGGTGGGTCAACTTCCCTCCCTTACATTTGCATATGTTGGTAAAAATTAGAATCGATTTTCGTCATAGTTTTCAGCAACTGACTTAATTCTAATTTTATTCTTTGTCACTGAAAACATGCTGCTGACAAAAACTATGACAGAAATATTTTTGTTGACAAAATTAACACGGATTACAAGTATCCACAAGCTCAGAACAAGATAATGAACCTAAACCTCTAATGTAGGGTCATACCTGGGATTATACAAGAATCTGAACATTTAGGATTAAATGTTAGGTATAAATTTTAGAATCACCCCTTATCTTAATTTGAGGTCTCTAAGGATGACTTAGAGCTAAGAGTCAGAGGTAAGAGGCCTCCTGATGTATAAAAGTTGGGTGCATGTCAATTATCAGCACTCATGCTGAGCTCTGGTAAGCACTGTTTGCATATAAACGGACAACATAAAAACCTAATTTCAGAAAAACACCAAAAAAGCACAACACACACTACACACATTTATACAATTTGAGGTTTTCATAATTCTAACAGTCATAACACAATGGAGGCAATCATAAATAGAAGAACTAATTGTGGTCATCCCTCCTCCTGTACATGTTTTTTTGTTTTATCGTCCACAGACTAATCCTGCCCCCACACTGACTCAAAAACCTTAAAGTGTAGTTTCACTTTTGCAGTCAAATTTGAAAAACAAAAACTATATGTTTGTTATGCGTGTTGCATTCACACAAAACATTTCTCAAAATAGTAATAAAAAATGATATACTTTTTTTTTCTTACCTTTTGGTTTGGGCAGGCCTCAGCCAGACTGCAAATTACAATTTCACAGTGATTGTCTCCACACAGACTGGGGAACCTGAGCTTTTCCTCATTACCATACAATGAAGAAGCCCAGATTCTAGATCACAGGTGTCAAGCTGGCAGCCCTCCAGCTATTGGACACCCCTGTTCTAGATTTTTAAACCCTTTGCTAAAACTGAAAAAGTGTTCAAATCTATTTTACAACTGATAATGATATCTGCCAGCACAGCACTAACAGGAAATCTTTTGTCCCTAGTCCCTTTAAAGAAAGAAAAGCTATGTAGGATTTTTTCGGTGAGTTTTAAGAAAAGAGCATTTAAAAAAGTTAACAGCATTTTTTTGTTTATTTGTTTCTTGTTCCCATTCACAACGCATAACTAAAGTAGGCGTTATCCCAACTTGGCTGCAAAAGTGGAAACACACTTTAAGGCATAGGAAGAGACAACATACTCTAAGAAAATGGTTTAGGCGACCTGTTAATTTGCATATTGGTTTCAGAAACTAAGACACAATTGTTAAGATTTAGATAAGAGATCTAAAGATTTCTTCCAATAGAAAATATACAAAAGCTTTTGTTCAGACAAGAAGTTCTATAAACCCCCAATTTCTCAAAGCAAATGATGCTTAAATGGACATTCTTCTCCTATCACCACTGCGTGTAGGAATACTCAACATTCGTTTTACACTGGCCTGTCAGCTACACTGCGACTGTCCCAGCCAACCACACATTTAAACATGGAGGGGGCTGTAAAAACTGGAACACCCCCTAAACAAAAGCTGGAACACTCAAGTAAGTGTTCTCCTGTAGGTTGGTCCATTACAAATTAGTACTGGCTGTGCAGGAAGTAATTGGTTTACCTGTCTTTAGAATGTACTTTTAACAATTTGAAATTTAGAGAGTGAGAGAGCTAAAAGCCTGAATTTAAGTGCTGTGATTTCCCATGTTTTCTTTTTCTTCATGTATTATTATTATTGTGCTCTCCTAAAATGCTTTTTGGAAGAAAATTGCACCTTTTAGTAAAATTGTTTTAGTCGCTGCCTGAAAGTGATGCTCCCCTGGTTCTCGCAGATACAGCTACAGAAAGTGCCAAGTTTCAGTGCAGCCTCTGGAGAAAATCTTTCATTTTGGAGTGCTTTGGAAATCAAGCCGTGTTTTAGAAAGGACACCACCTCCACTGCAACACTCAGCTCTGCAGCTCAGGCGGCGAAGATGTAAACCGACTACCCTTTACCTAAGGATTATTAGTTCTCTACCTACTGTGCATGTAGAATAAGTGCGTTGTACAGATCCACCCACCGATACAAAAAAAAAAATAAAAATATCAGGCAGATATGGCATAGAAAAAGCCCTTTGCATGGCAGCTTCAGCTGTCATATTTATCAGCTGAAATTGTTATGTCTCAACACCTGCCAACACGTGGATTAGCGGCAAGACAGACTTTGACTAGTTCCTCTCTTCTAAGCATTAAGTACATTCTTTAGAACATAGGTCAGTTACAGATGACTACACGCTGGGAATGCCATCCATATCTGTATTTGGAGTGCAAGCTTTTTTACCGATTTGCAGGGTAAGGCACCAACAGGAGTAGAAAAAAAAAAAAAAGACTGAAAACACTTTAAAATGAATTTTGTTTGGAATTGTGGGAAATGTTTTTGTTTGAGCTGGACAGCTCAGGAGTAGAGCCAATCGCAAATTGCTGCAACACATTGGAGTCAATAATACAATCTTTCACCGACTGCTTGCTGTCACTTCTGCTTCTCGCAGTGCCTTAATAAAGTTGCATTAAAGGCTCGAGTTTAAATAAACAAAACGAAAACCCACAAAAACAAACTTGTCACACTAACTTGCTCTGTCCAAAACCATTGCACAGAGTAGCCCTGATCCTTCTCTTCTTGGGTCCTCTAACGGCACTTCTTGCCCCCCTGCCGAGTGCCACCAGAGCAAGCCACTTGCTCTGGGGGCACTTGTGTGTGCTTGCTACCGAGCAGAGTGCGGCTTAGCCTTGCCCCCGCTCACTCCTCACTGGCTGTGATTGACAGCAGTGGGAGCCATTGGCTACCACTGCTGTATCTCAGCCAATGAGGAGAGAGAGACCTAGGAGAGCTCTCGTGCACAGCGTTGGATTGAGTTCAGGCTCAGGTAGGGGGGCTGTGTGGGGGGGAGCAGCACTCAGAAGGTATTTACCTTTATTCATAGAGTGCACGAAGATTTAAAAAAAAAAAAAAAATCCTTCAACCTTTACTACCACTTATTAAATGTAAACAAAAAAAATGTCACAAAAACTTCTATGGATGCTGGCCTACAGTCCTACTGCCATGGGTGCTTCCAACCAAGATGGACTATGTGGTTGCTGTGTTGTGGATCTTACTAAATGATTCTACAAGGGTCAACATGCTGCTGTTTAGATCCCCAAATTAACATAGTGGATCAAAGGGTCACTGGACCATCCAGCCAGCAACTGCAGACTAGAAAATGTGTCCCAGTCCTTCAATAGCTACCAGTCAGGTCACGCAAAGAGAGGCCTGGATAAGTCCAGTAAGGCAGCGTGTTCATAGCACAATCAACGGTGTCAGGCAATGAGGATGCAGCTATTCTACTATCTGCACTGGAGACCTTTATTTCTTAGCCATGTAAAAAAAAAAGCCCGAAAACAAAGAACATGACGAAATTTCCTGTTTTACAATTGTAAGTAAAGATTTTTATATAGACATTATATAGACATTAAGCACATTTTCCCAAAAAAATCTGAAGACCTCACCACCTGATTCTGTGACTGTAGTAAAAAAAAATTCTTTGGGTAATCTACAGCACTTAAACTTTTTGCCTTGCACCATAAAACCAGTTATCATGAATTACTTTATCCGTGTTAATAAAAAAAAACCATGCAAGTCGAAGTAGTCCCATTTGCCCCTCTTCCCTGCAGAATCCGGCAAATCACAGAAATGAGATTCCTTCATATCAACAAAGAGTGAGGGGTAAGCCGAGGTCTTTTTCACATACCGATCAGAGAGGTGGCTAAAGAAATGTCCAGGCGCTTTATATTAAAGATCCGATGAAGCAATATCCTGGTGCTTCATAACAGAGTAAAAATCCATTAGCAAGGCCAAAAGTGCTGGACTCTGCTGTTGAAGATGCCAACTGTTAGACAGGAATCCAATGCTCAGAACAAACATGCAGTTGAAGAACTGATAACCAATGTCACACAGCTTTCTAACAAGACAGACATTATCAAAAAAAAGTTTAGTTTGCATTCTGTAATGCTCACTATCTCATCACCCCATAAAGGTCCTTAAAGTAGCCACTTAGGAGGAAGCACCTGGCTTGAGCAGAGAATCTGCTGATCTTTTTAAAGGCCGGCTAATTGGCCTGCAGAAAACCAGTACTGATTGGCAGTTATCACTCATTCAGGATCTGCACAGCTGGCCTTCACTCACTGTTTGAGCAGCTCTTTCCCCTCATGCTAGCCTGTGGAAGGAACAGAGTTTTCTGCAACTCCTATTATGCATAATCCATTTGTGGCGCACTGTGTGCTGCTGCAGGTTTACGCTCAGGGCTGGCTCGGGCTTCACTGCTGCAGTCCTGAGGACGGGTAGATATGTAATCTCGTACTTTAATCTCCATGTTTTTGGCACGGAGTGTTGCTAAATGCAGCTTCTCCAGGAAATCGGGCATCCCTGTAACAATAAATGTGTTAGTATTAGCAAACATCTCAGAACAGCAAGTGACACAAAAGATACAAAATTGCAGTGGCCATGCTAGTTATGTTGCAACATCTAAGGACTGGTAAACTTCAACACATTAGAGTTTTTTTTTCTTGGGTTTAGATATATCTTAACAAATTCAGCTCCGGAAGATGTTACCCCCCTCTTCATGACCAGGCTATGTTTTGCTATACGGCACTGCACTACTTTAACTGGCAATAGTGTGGTCATTCAACACAGTACCCAAATGGAATTTATATAATTTTTATTTATACAAGTAGAGATTTATTTTGGGGGTATTTGATCACCACTGGGTTTTTGCATTTTTTATTATATAAACTAAAAAAAATACCATAAATTTTAACAAACAAAAAAACAAACAAGTATATATTGATTTACGTGAAAGTTATAGCATCTGTAAACAATGTAATATATACTGGATTTTTTTTTTTTTTTTTTTAATACTAGTAATGGCAGTGATCAGCGACTTATAGTGGGACTGTGATAGTGTGACGGCCAATGTGACACTTTTTAGGAACTGATTAACTGCCACTGACATTAATATAGTGATTAGTGCCAATATTGTACTAATGACACTGGCTGGGAAGGGGTTAACATCTGGGGCAATCAAGGGGTTAATCGTATACCTAACAATGTGTAATGTGTGTAATATGTGCAGCTTTTTACTACAGATTGATTTACTTTCCCTGCAAAGCAGGGAAAAGGAACAAAATGGTTGTTCCCTCTGTATAGAGCCCTGTGTTTGTCAACACAGGGCTCTGGGCTGTGATTCAACACAGCTGATCAGCAGATCCCAGCCATGAATCATCTGATGGGCTCTGCTGACAAACTCCCGCTGTGTCAAATCACAGGGAAGTAGGTGTGCAGGGGCGTGTCGAAAACAGGCATCCCCGTACAGGTACGTCGCTGTGCTCTGAATCCCTTTATCAATTTTGGTTATTATAAACTTTTGGGATTTGACTCCGTAAATGTCTGATATGATCAGGCAACATAAGTCAAACATAAGGAAAGATAAAAAGCTGAAGATGGGCTCATGATTCACATAAAATGTTTAAATGAACTTACCACTGGACACCATCCAATTTACACAATAGCGAGGAAACACAGTCTGTGGGTTGTCACTATATGTTAACAAGTAATCAAAGCCATTCTAAAAGAGAAATTAGAAACAACCATTGGCAACACAACTGATACTCTATAATACTCCCTACACATCCTTTAGCACTATGGGTACTCTTGAGAAATTAACACCAGAATAGAAAATCGCAGAACAAAATATCCAACTCCTAGGAGCGAGCGCAGTGGGCTAATGTTACAACAAATAGTAGTAATTAAACGGTATGCTCAAGGCCTTGCTACTAAAATACACACAATAATGAAAACACTGAAGAAGTTATCTGCTGTCACATGGGTTTACCGTATACTTAATTTGAAATAAATCTTTTTTTACATAAATTAACACTTTTTCTTAAATTAAGGTTTACAGTATATACAGAATTGATGGAGGGGTGCTGTATCTTTAACTCCTATTCATTCCCTATTGTTTTGTGACTGATGTGGACATGCCTCTCATTCATATTTGTTTTATAAAATGCAACACAGAAAAAAAAAACAAAACACAAGAACACAACTGACAAAAAAAAACAAACAAACAAACAAACAAACAAACAATGGTTGAAAACAATAGAAACACAATTAAAAACAGAACAGAGAAAATAACTAAGGAGAGAAGGGGAGGTAGGAGTGCCAATTTGGGATAACCAATGGTTAATGAGAGGCTGAAACACAAGATATTTTCTTGAAATTTTTTTTTCTTACTTGCAAGGCTTCTTTAAATGATGTCACATGCAGATCAAAGACCACGCCTTTGACCTACATCTGAATTTTATCGTAAATTCAATAAAATTATACATGGTCTTTACTCAGTGACATGCAGATCGTCATTTTGGACAACCAGTAATTGTGGCAGCAGGAGAGGCACTCAATATAGGAGATACATCCTAGACAGTTTGTTGAAGTTTTCTTTAGGATGCATCTCTAATGCTGTCAGTGCCTGGTCACACCGGTACGATTTCAGGTCTGATTTGCAAATAGAAATCACATCTAATGAATGTGAGTGTCTTAACATATGCGATTTGCTGCAGCACGATTTCTAAAGTAGTTCTTGCATTACTTTTTCTGCAGTTTTGTGCCGACTTCACATACATAGAATATAATGGAAATCGCATTGCAAATTGCAAGAAATCATTGAAAATCTTCACAAGTAGCAATAACGTCTTCAGAAATCGCATATAAATTAGTACTGGTAAAACTATCAGAAGCACAGAGACCACAGGCAATATAGATGACCAATTCAATTGCCCTCTGCTTTTGCACAGCTTTCAAAGTTCAGTTATTATTATTATACAGGACTTGTATAGCGCCGACAGTTTGCTCAGCGCTTTACATTATGAAGGGAGACAGTACAGTAACAATACAGTTCAATACAAGAGGGATTAGAGGGCCCTGCTCCTTGGAGCTTAAAATCTAGGCAGTTCCACTTGATCAAGCCTGCTGGCTCCAAGACTGGACTGAATCCCTTAATTTATACTCTAGCCAGTCCTGAAATAATATACCACTCACAATAGTTAGTGTCTCTCAAACACCATTAGTGTACCTGATACTAGAGCCATACCTCATCAAATGTTGTATGAGGTCTGATCACCATCTGAGAATGGTAGTTACGCACGCGGACATAGTTAGGAGATTCTGGTACCTCTGGGTGCTCCACTGCTCTGTAAGTCAAGAAAAAGAAAGCTCAAACAACATCGGCGAAACAGCTCTCCAAATGTGTGCAGTGACTGTGGTTTGTGTTCCTGTATAATGCTTATATCTTTGACTTTATATTGTTTAACCACCATCCTACAGGGCATTTATTGCACAAGAAAAGACACTACAAAGTATATATTACCGTGAGACCAACACCATGAGGTTATTCTCCTGATCCACGTTATACTTCCTGACGTACACATAGTCCCGCGAGTACATTGGATACTGCAGGGAAAAAAAAAAAATCAAAATCCAATATGAATTTTAAGGTTTCTAAACTCTAAATTTCAGGGCAAGGTATCAAGCTAGACAATTTTGGCTGAAGGTGGAAAAGGGCTTTAAACAACCCAAACATTGCTTAGCAGAGATCTTTAATAAATAATTATCTCATCTCACCAAACTGAGTGGAAGCCACAGCAGTGACACTGCTGCTTGTTTGCATCAAACTTACATTAGAGTTGAGTGTGGAATGAAATTCCACCTTGCCGCCAAGAAGACCTGTAAGGCTTTAAAAAGACAAAACATGCAAAAAGCAACTAGTGGACCATGTTAAAGATCAAGTGGGAATTCTCCTAAACATACATTTGATCTTGAGGCTGCTAGGAATAAAGCAGTTGCAAATCATATTGGACTTTTAACAACCAAAGGACCTTAAAAACTGCTTCTGGGCACAAAGCTTAAAAAGAGACACTGTCAATTTGCCCATTCAGGGAACAGTGATAGTGCCTGTGTAACCTCCTAACCCACTGATATTCACCTTCCCAGTGATCTCCTGCTGTACCTCATCTACACTAGACCCATTCACTGCATCATTGGAGGGGGGGGGGGGAGGGCTACATGCTCCATCATACACTGCACCAGTTCTGACAGAGGTAGGGGTAGCAGGGGATTGCTTGAGAGATGTGAATATCAGTGGGTGGGAGGTGGTTTTACACAGACACTGTCGCTTCAACCTGTATGGGCAAAGTGACCGCATCTGTTAGTGGTACTTACCATGCAAGATCTTAAAATGTGTACATATACATGCATGGACAGTATGTACGATTGACCAACAAACCAGGACTTACTGGAAAATGAGTAACCCAGTGAAGGACTTCTGATCCAGAGACTACATCTCTCTCAATCACTTCCAGTTTAATCACTAATGCATCCCACTTTTTGCGGTACTCTGTATCTAACTGTGGGCAAGATGAAGACAAATCAGCAACAAAGCGACATGAACTCTGCAGTGCAACACACATACAGAGAAGATTCATACCTGAACATTAAAGAACTGGCGAGGTGTCACATCGTTATACGAGCCAAATACTGTGGGAAGACAAAACAGGCTCTATGAGCTACACACTTTTATACAGGCTCTATAACAATAAAGCAGTTGATATAAAATGGGGTAATAAACAGTGGAGGTGTTGAAGGTAGCTTCCAATCAAAAATGACAGTATTCATTTTCAGCACATTTAAAGTAGTCAATCAGACTTTGCCATCTCCAATCAATTACTGGATCAAAGATCGTTGTGCCTTTCTATCAGGATTGGATAGTGTTTTATTTCAGGGTTATAGTAATAGAGATCTTCTTACAAAAAAAAAATGGTAAGTCTACAAATTCATCCTATGCACACCTATAGAGACCTGTTTACTAGTATGATCACATAGGTCTCTGGGGGCAGGTCCCTTCTAGTACTGGGTTATATGGAGAAGCATCACTTGAGCAGTGCTGTTGGGAATAGACAAAGGGTTTGTAATCACCCATCCAAGCCATTGTTCAATGACTGGCATCACTGAGCAGTCACCGAGGAGACCTGACACACACAGCTGATTCACACGTGTGGATTGAAGCTCAGGTACCACAGCTAATTGATACAGTAGTTGTTCACAGGTTCACACCAGGTTTACATCAGGTTCAGGACAGGATTAGCTCAGGATCTTATCTTGTTCACACATATGCGGTTTTAGAAACGGTTCCCAAAGAAATCAATAGCCTGGTGCGACTTTGGCTTTGACCATGGATAATTGTTTCTGCTGTACTAAGTCGTACACAAGTCGCATGTACAACATTCAGGTACGACTTTCATGCAACTTTGGAGGGTTTACATTGAAGTCTATGGCCCTCAAGTGAAAGTCGGACCAAAGCAGTGCAGGAACTACTTTGAAGTCGCACAGATATGAATGGTACCAAATGGGAAACATGGGGGGGGGGCGACTTGTCATGCGACTTTGGACCCCAAAGTCGCATAAATGTGAATGGAGCCTAAAACCACACTGAATCCGCACTGCCAGTGCACCAGACATATGTGAACAGGCACCATAGGAAACAGTGTTTTTTCACATGTCATGTAGAGAATGTACAAACCGCATCCAATCCGCATATATGCTAATGGGCACTGAATGGTGTTGGGGGTGGAAGAGGTAAACACAGGTAAAGTTCTTGCTTTCAGTTGGAGACACACCTTCCCATCCAAAGTAAACCTGCTGCTGCTGACCACCTCTTGCAAATCCTAGATAAATGGCTGTTAGGCTGACCTATTAGCTTCAGAGTCCTGAGTAAGCACAGGTTCACATCTGTGCGGGTTTCGGCTCACAGCAGTCCATTCATTTGAATGGGATGCTGTGCCTGCGTTTTGCCGCAAAAAAAAAAAAAATTAAAAAAGGCTTGCCGAAAGCAGTTGAAATTGTGTGTGGCAAAAATGCTAAATCTAAGGTTGGAAATAAAATTTTCCTTTATTTACCAAATTCATATATTATAAGGTCAAACCTCAACACTTTCAAGTTGTATGCAATCAGGCAGGCCCTTGCACTACACAGATTTGAAGGTAAATCTAAAGGAAATTGAATAAGAAAATTGTATAATGTATGGTCAGCTTACAGATTATACAACCAGATTGTATATGATCAGCTTTACTTTTATAGACAACTGAAAAAAAGATTTCTTCGCCTCAAAAGAGCCTAGACCATAAAGAAAGCCACAATTTCTACACTCCTCCAGAAATCATTTTTCAAATGCAGATGATGCACAAAAGGAATCAAGTCTTTTGAATTGCAGTTATAAATACATTTTTCTTTTCACCATTAGTAGAACTTAAGCTGTTTCCTGCTGGTTTTATTGTGTCTCAAGTTCTACCACATCCTGGGTGGGACTAATAACCACCCCCACATCTTACAGATTAGACAGAAGACTACCTGACAATTTCCTTTTCAATAAGCGAGTATACAGTACTAAAATGTTTTCTACTAACTAGTGGCAGAGAAGTTCAAATCTGAAGTTCTAGGTTAAGTTTAACTCTCATATCACTTTAGTGGCCATAGATAAAACTGATAATTAACAGTACTGACACATACAATGATAAAATAAGTAAACCACAAAGGATAAGATCACCTTTGGGAACATGTTACATGTTTCAACCAGTTTTAGGGTGGAACATGTAACATGTTCCCATAGCCGCAGTCTGCCACCTCCCCTCTCTCTAACAGATAGTACGGGGAAACTTCTCCCCGTATTATCTGTCAAATTTGAAAACAGCACAGCCGCACGGGGATCCGCCCACATGGCCGCGTCACTCATTCACAAACTTCCGTGAATGAGTGAACTGCAAGTCCAGACACCCTTAGTGGCTGTCGGCTTGTAGTTTTCAATGAACTACCACAGTGCTGTGGTGCACCGTGGTAGATTACTGAAGCTTCCTGTCAGAATATCTGCTTGCTTGTATGGCAAGCAGATATTCTGACAAGTCTGCAGGAGACCTGCATGGCATCAGTGATTTACTGATCACTGTTGCAATGCTTTCCAGGTTACTGTAGATAAAAAAATGTGCATTTATTATTTTTATCTGCAAAAATGTGCATTTATTATCTTTGTCTAAAATGTGAACTTTCACAAAAAAAAAAATAAAAAAAAAATAAATGGAAAGGTGAACTAACACCCTACATCCTCCCCACCCCCAGGTCCCAGCTGCACTTACCTCCTTGAGCCCTGGTTCCACACTGATGCAAATCTGATGCATTCCAGATTCACATGTTAAGGGAGATAACATAGCCGTTCACATCTATACGTTCCAAATGCAATGTGATTTCCAAAACAGTTCAGTGTGTGTATTTAGTGCAATGCATTTTTGAGCCCCTCAGAGTTGAATGTAAACCGCTGTGAAAATGCATAATTATTTAAATGTAATACGATTTCATTGCGAGATACACCTTTTCATAATGTCACAAAATTAGCTAGAATAGAAATCGCAGCTGTGTAAAATAACATTAAAATTGCACTGCAACTGCTCCTGAAATTGCACTTGAAAACGCATAGAAATTGCACTGCATCAGTGTGAACTAGGGCTGAATGATTATCTCTCACTGCCTACGGACCCCTGCACCAGCTGTGTGGGCAGTGAAAGCTAATCATCTACGGAGGCAAGTTCGACGGGTGGGTACCATGGCAGTGGGAAGGAAGTAGGGTGTTCACCTTTCCATTGTTTTGTGAAAAAGGTGAACTTGCGCTTTAAAAAGGCCACGTCCAGGCAAACATTTTTCCAATCCCCAACCCTAACTCTGTGTTCCCCACTGCTGCAATCCAAAGCTAAATTTGCTTATCGTGAAGTTCAGCTTTAATACTATATTGATATTAGCAGCATGAGATGATGACTCTCATTTTAAGTATCAAAGTTACAATATTTTATAGCGTATGTCCAGCAAAACTGTGTCTTACTTTTGGACAGAAATGGGAAGAGTTGGATCCCCAGCAGATTTGACTGCAATTAAGGACTCCATTAGGGAGATATACCCTCATGTCCTGACCCGCTGACAATGTTTTAACAGACAGGAAGTAAGGAAAGCTCTCAGCAGCACAGACACAACAAAAATGCTTTTCTTTAGTCAAGTTGGGGAAGGTTAAAACTTCAGTTGGATATTATTTTTACATCTATGTGCAGATTTCATGTTGCAGATTTTCCATCACTTCCAGTCAAGAGAAACTTGTTAGCAGGACAGGAGGTGAGGGTCACCATACACACTACAATCAACTTTAGATTTACCAAAACTATGTAATATAAGGGCCTACCTAAACTATCCAATTGGACGGCCCTTTCACAACAAATATTTGTCGGTAGATCTAAAGAGGATTGTACAAATAGATTGTAGGGTGTGTGGTGAACTTAAAAGATAAGTTCAACTTTTGACATAAAATAAATGCACATATTTTTGCAAATTAAAAAAAAAAAAAAAAAAAAGTGCATTTATTATTGTTTGTTGAAGGAGCCTGTAGAGCATTGCAGGTCTCCTGCAGACCTGTCAGTATATCAGCTTCCCCGTACGGGATGTAAAGGCAAGCAGAAATACTGAGAGGAAGAATCAATTAGCTACCACAGCACCGTAGCAGTTCATTGAGAACTACAGGCCGATAGCCGCAAAGGCTGTGGGGACTTGTAGTTTTCTCATTCACAAAGGACTGTGAATGAGTGACGTGGCTGGGAGGGACAGAGCCCTGCATTGGCTGCATTTTTTTTTTAAATTTTGACAGCTAGTGGGGGGAGAAAATCCCCCGATAGCTGTCAAAGGGAGGGAGCGGGGGCTGGTCCATTCATAACACGTTACAACTTGAATATGGGTGTAACTTATCCGTTAACCACTTGCCTGCTGGGCACTTTTACCCCCTTCATGCCCAGACCAATTTTCAGCTTTCAACGCTATCATACTTTGAATGACAATTGCGCGGTCATGCAACACTGTACCCAAACAAAATTTGTACAATTATTTTGAGACAAAAATAGAGCTTTCTTTTGGTGATATTTAATCACCACGGGGGGTTTTTATTTTATTGCTAAAACAAAATGTTGACAAAAAAAGTTGTTTTTGTTATAAAGTTTTGTAAATAAGTAATTGTTCTCCTTCACTGATCGGCACCGATAGGCTGCACTGATGAGGAGTCACTGATTGGCTGCAAACATGGGCACTGATTGGCTGCAAACATGGGCACTGATTGGCACTATTGGCCACACTGATGGCCTGATGATCAGTGTAGATGTCCCCCTGCGAAATGCCGCTTACCGGCTCTCCTCACCTTGAGAGGAGAGCCGGTAACTGGCATTTCCCATTTACCCTGTGATCAGCTGTGATAGGACACAGCTGGTCACATGGTAAAAGCGACTGTGATTGGCCCATTCCTTAGTAATGTTATCAGCTGATCACAGATTACATGCAGTGCTCTCCCCAGGGGGCAAGCGGGGGGTGTGGTTCTGGGAGGACGTCCATGGACGCCCTCCTAGAACTAGCAGACCATGCTGTAGATATCTTTTGGCTATATGCACCCGGGAACTGGTAATGGAGTTCTGAATACCAGTAAAAACCCAGCAAAATTTCTCATCCTTTCCCACTCCATCTAAATCTAGAACAATTTTTGGTGCTATATACACTTTAAATCCTTCACAGCAAGCACTGGTAAAGTTAAAGCTGCTCCTGGTACACAGATTAAGATTTTCCAGGGTGATGTCTGGACTTCAGAGGTGATGAACCAATAATTACATCCTACCTCTGTACTGATACAGATAGGTTCCTTCTATTGGTCTCCGCCACAGCCTGAAGTCTTTTTTATCCAAGACTAGTTCCCAGCCTTCATCCTCCTCACACTTCATACTATGACAGTGAACTCTGTGGGCTGCAAACTGTGCCTTCTTCATCTCTTCAGCAGGCCTGTAATGGTACAAAGACTTTAGAGAAATCAAAGCAGAGACATCCAGTTCATCTGAGGCTGTCATTCTCCCTGACCTTGGCTGAAGGGTGCGGCGAGATCCTTAATCATTCATGATATAAAAATTATCAGTACTACTCAAACATGCTATATTTAGTCTGTGACACAAAGCACACACTCTGTTACATAATGTACAGGTTTTTAATTTATAGAAGGCTCCTTCACCACAGGATCTGACTGACAGCAGTGGGAGCCAATGGTTCCCACTGCCTCAGTGAAGCATGTGAGATTGGTGAGAGCCACTACAGATGGGCAACAGCACTGGATCGAGTGAGGTTTTAAAGCCTTAAAGTGTTACTAAACCTGTATCTGTATATGCAGTAAAGCATGCTTGATATACTCACTGTGGAACCTAAGGGGTTAATCCTCTGCATTGTGTAAAAATGCTGTTTAATTCTGATTTCTCCCCCTCTTCCAGTGTCCCCCTCTTATCTCCTGATAAAACATATCATGTGGAAACACTCTGCACATGCTCAGTTTGGTGTGTATTGCTAGAGTTTTTGTTTTTTTTCTCTTGGGAGAGTGCATGTGATCTGCACAGGGCCAATCAGCACGGTACAGACAGAGGGTCAGGGGTTCTGCATCCTCTTAGAGCAGAAAGAAAACTCCTACAAGCTTTAAACAGTGCTCTTTGAACACTGATAGAAGTCACAAGACTGCTCTAACTGCTGATGAGAAAAGGTATTTAGCAGTTTATATTTACTAACATAATTACATTTCCATGTTCTGTGTACTGTGTGAGACCAGACAGAGAGAATGCCGGGTCCTGGGTTTAGTAACACTTTAAGGGTTTTTTACTTTAATGCATTCTATGCATTAAGGAAAACAAAAACATTCTGTGTCTGGGATCTCCCTAGCCACCCCTACTAGGGTTGCCACCTCATCCCTGTAAACCCAAACACATTAATTACACAGGTGTATGGCTGATTAAGGTGGGAATTAAACTCACGTAGTGCCTTATCTGCATTAAATTAGCCTCAGAACCTATAATATGGGTTATATATAATAATGAGAGCAGTGGCTCTCCTGGTTTTGTCCCTCCTCCCGGGGCAGATTGATAGCAGAGGAATCCATTGGCTCCAGCTGCTGTCAATCAAACTCTGACACAGGGGGCATCTATGTACACAGGCAGCGGGGCTCAGGAGCGAGTCCACACAAGTGCCCCCTTAGGAAACGGCTTCCTATGGGGGCACTAGATGAAGAGGAGGAGCCAGGAGTGCTGGCAGGGGACCTGAGAAGAGGAGGATCAGGGTTGCTCATTTTTCTAATTTAATAAAAAAAAAAAAAAAAACACACCCACACATACCTTTTCAACCACTTTTAAGGTAAAAGAAAATGTTAAGGCTTTAGAACCACTTTTAGCCCTGGTTCACACCAGTATGGCTTTAAAGTCACGCAACTTCAAAAGCTGACTATTCAGTGCGACTTCATTGTGGCCTGCTGACAGCCTGCGCAACTTCACTTAATAGCAATGACGTCACACAAAAATAGTGCAAGAACCTTTTTCAAAGTTGCTTCGTCTTGAGTTTCAACGATCTGAATGGTTCCATTGCCGCTAATGGGGTGTGACTTGTCATGAGTTTTTGAACTCTCAAATCACATGACAAGTTGCACTGGTGTGAACCAGAGCTAAAGCTGCAATCCAGGCAGATAACTAAGACATTATTGCAGTTATTCATAAATAAATTACAATGACATCAATGTTTAATTGAAACAATGTATGTATCTAAATTGCAAATGGTAACAGTACGTTTCAGCTTCAGTTTGGGGATGTTAACTGCAAATCTGACGGCTGTTGGTTACTAGTATCGGCAGCAGAGTTGTTATGAATAAAATCCATTTATAACAGCTTTGTTGACTTTGTGATCACATGATCCCTGGGCCGACTATTGTGGCCCGCCCGGCACCATGAGCCGCAATCCCGTGTCTGCGAGCAGGGAACATTAGACTGTTTAACCGCTTCCCGACCGTCCTATAGCAGAAGCACTGCTATAGGGCTGTGCAAAAATCACATACATACATACACACGATTTTGTATTTCCGGGTAGGGGGCACCCGCGCCGCCATTTGCGGCTACAGCTGTCGATCACCGGGTCCCGGCTGGAGATTCCCCACCGACACCCAACAGCCACGGAGGAACAAACAGAGGAGAGGTCTGTATGTAAACAATACAGATCTCTCCCCTGTCAGCGCCAGCACGCTGCTTTGTATTGCTCTGCATAGCAGAGCAATACAAAACAGCTTGCTTAAAAAGTAAAGCACACACATAGCACATAGGTAACCCTTTGATCACCCCAGATGTTAACCCCTTCCCGCTGTATGGTCTTGGCCACCCTACTGCAGCTCAGTTTCAGGGTCTTGGTAATCTTCTTATAGCCTAGGCCAGTGGTCGGCAAGCCGCGGCTCGCGAGCCACATGCGGCTCTTTACATACTCTAATGCGGCTCTTCTGTGTGCCGGGCGCCCGCTCCCCTCCCTCCTCTCGGGCGGCCGCCCCAAAAGTCAGGACTCTGCAGCTAGCCCAGCAATGGGCAAACTACGGCCCGGCGGACCTTTTAATCCGGCCCGCGGAGCGTGGCAAACATTGGCTGTCAGGATGTAGGCGGGGCAGCGTGACGAACTCCTCTCCTCTCACAGTCCGCCCTGAAGACCGGAACGGCGCGGGAACACGGCGAGAGGAACGCGCGGAGCAAAGGTAAGTGAATTGACACAATATGGGGAATGAATTACTATAGGGGGGATGAATTACTATGGGGGATGAATTACTATATGGGGGATGAATTACTATATGGGGGATGAATTACTATATGGGGGATGAATTACTATATGGGGGATGAATTACTATATGGGGGATGTATTTTCAGTTTTAAAAATGTAGCTCTCAAAATAAATTTCAATCGTGGTTTTGGCGAGATTTGGCTCAGTTGAAAAAAAAGGTTGCCCACCACTGGCCTAGGCCATCTTTATGTAGAGCAACAATTCTTTTTTTCAGATCCTCAGAGAGTTCTTTGCCATGAGGTGCCATGTTGAACTTCCAGTGACCAGCATGAGAGAGTGAGAGCAATGACACCAAATTTAACAAACCTGCTCCCCATTCACACCTGAGACCTTGTAACACTAACAAGTCACATGACACTGGGGGCGGATAATGGCTAATTGGGCCCAATTTGGACATTTTCAGTTAGGGGTGGACTCACTTTTGTTGCCAGCGGTTTAGACATTAATGGCTGTGTGTGGAGTTATTTTGAGGGGACAGCAAATTTACACTGTTATACAAACTGTACACTCACTACTTTACATTGTAGCAAAGTGTCATTTCTTCAGTGTTGTCACATGAAAAGATAGAATAAAATATTTACAAAAATGTGAGGGGTGTACTCACTTCTGGGAGATACTGTATATACCTTTTCTCATCAGCAGTTAGAGCAGTCTTGCGACTTTTATCAGTGTCCAGTTGAGCACTGGTTAAAGCATGTAGGATGAGTTTTCATTCTCCTCTGACTGTCCTATGAGGCTGCATGACCCCTTACCATCTGTCTGTACAGTGCCGAGTGATTCTGTGCTGAACACATGCACCCTCCCAAAGAAAAAAAACTCTTTAGCAATACACACCAAACTGAGGTGCAGAGTGCCTCCTAGAGCTCTGTACTATCAGCAGATGGATTGGGGACAGAAGAAGGGGAGGATCAGAGAAGACAGGATCAAACAGCCTTTTTTACACAATGCAGATGATTAACCCCTTAGGTTCCACAGTGAGTATAACAAGTATGCTGTACTGCATATACAGACTGATTTTACTGTTGTGGGTTTAGCAACACTTTAAGGAAAGGCAAATATTGCAGATTTTGTTTCCGCTTTAAGGGCTTATTTACGCTAGCCTGCACATTTTCAAAGCAAAAGCCACCTGTTACCTTTTTTTTCTTGAGCTTACTGAAATGTCACAAAGTGACTTTTATAAATTACACTGCATGAAATGTCCTGTGACTGCTAGATGTGTTTGGGGTGCTAGTAACAATTAATGGCACCCGTGCGTTTGTAGCAAGGACAGTGCATTCCCGAGCAGTGAACAGGCACAGAAAAGCCATCTAAAAAAAAAAAAGTGCTGCCTTTAGTTCTACTTCAAGGGCCAACTCACACTACATGTGTTTTAGTGCATTCTTTTTGCATCCAAAATGCACAGAAAGAAGGTTATATAGTTGTCAATATCATAGTTCCCATGCAGTTCCAGAAAAAAAAAAACAGAACAGGCTGCATTTTTCCTGCACAGAAATGTACTGGAATGTGCTAAAACGCATCAAAAACGCACCGGAAGGCACCAAAAATGCACTGTAACACATATGTCCCTATTTAAATTGAAGAAAAAGAGGGGGAAAAATGAACCGGAACACATCAAAAATGCACTGGAATGCATATGTCCCTATTTAAATTGAAGGAAAGAAAAAAAAAAAAAAAAAAAAAAAAGAAGGGGGGGGGATGAACCGGAACACATTAAAAACGCACCGGAATGCACCAAAAATGCACTGCAACACATATGTCCCTATTTAAATTGAAGAAAAAGGGAAAAAATGGAATGCACCAAAAACACACATGTGGAAACGCATCCGGAATGCATCTGGACTGTTTCTATGGTGTGAACTGGCCCTAAGCATTTTCTGGGATGTTTTGTTTACAAGTTTAACCCCTTCACACCTAAGGGTAAAACAAATCTAAATGCCCAAGCACAATTTTGCAATGTTGACCGTCGATAACATCACTTTGTACATCCAGGTGAATTATACTGCGTGTTTTTCAGGACATATTGGGCTTTCATTTGGTGGTAAATGGTAATGGATATCTCCTGATTTTTATTTTTTTTATTATCAAAAGGGAAACTGGCCTAAAATAGTAAAAAAATAAATATTTTTTTTTTAATTTAGCTGTGTGTTTCTTGTTACTACCATCAAAGAACCCAAAATAAATTTTCCAGCTTTTGACGATCACAGTGATACCATATATGTATGTTATTTGTTGTTTGTACCCGTAGTACAGCCCAGAAACAATAGTGCGCATTTTGTTTTGCTTTTTTACCTAAAACACACTGGCACCAAATTTTTATTAAGACATCCTGACCTTTTGACCTTTGACCCTGACCCAAACACTTACCCTGGCACTAAACTAGATCAAACCTTGATCTAGGTATGTGTTCTGTATTTTTTTTTTTTAATATTTATCTTTTTTTTTTTACCTCTATGCCAGGAGTTAGAGAGATACAATGTATCTCTCTCCTCCATTCATAGAGAGAGGGAAAACAAAAAAAAAAAACACAAGGGGGCCGGGCTGTACAGTGACTGATCACTGTGATAGCCAATCAGAGGCCATCACAGCGATCATGTGACCCAGAATCGTGAGTCCCGATTGTTAGAATGGGACTCGGGGCTCTCAGTTACACCGCGATCTTTGTGCTGGGAGCACGCCATGCGGCGCGCTCCCAGCAGAAAAACAGGTACGCAAATATGCGGCCCCACGGAAAAAAGCCCAGTTCTGTGAGGCCGCATATTTATTTGTGTTACATCAACGTCAAAGGGTCAAATTGGTATTTTTTGCTAGAAAATTACTTAGAACCCCCAATCATATAGATATATTTTTTTTCTTTGGCACATGGTATTTGCGCAGCGTTTTTTCAAACACAGTTTTTGAGAATACACTTTAGTGAAAAAAAAAACAAAAAAAAACACAAGAATTACCGATTTTTTTTTTTTTTTTAAATATGAAAGAGGGTGTTACAGCGAGTAAATGGATACCCAACATGTCATGCTTTAAAATTGCACACACTTGTGGAATGGCAACAAACTACGGTACTTCAAACTCTCCATAGGCGGCGCTTTAAGAATTTTTTCTATGGTGTGAACTGGCCCCAAGACATTTGTTTGAAGGGTGCTGAGAGCTCTGAGCTGAATCCTATATATATATATATATATATATATATATACAAAGCCTCAGCTTGCGCTTTATCCAATCACCGCGAAACACGAGACGGGTGTCTTGATCCTCCAGGACAACACTCACATCCACCGGGTCTGCCCCAACCCAGTGATGAGGATTTAGGCCAAGTACATACTATGAGAAAACTGGACAACCGATTGTCTGATTTTCCACAATGTAACTGAACTTGTAGAATTCTCAGCCGACAAAAGCAAACGCAGCTATGTACTAGACTAGTAGAATAGGAAATGAAGGTCGTTCTTTGCTTCTGATCTTGCGCATATTTTTTTCCTCTTTGATTATTTCCATACGATTACTGTACACATTAACCCTACGTTCACACCTAAGCGTGGTCTGCCGCGTTTTGCAGAAACACAGTACAGTCCATTTAACATGATTTCCTATGGGACAGGTTCACATCTTTGCGTTTTTTGGAAAGTGTCAGTGACTTTTTTTAATGCAAAACGTTGCGTTTTTGATTCTATAGACTTCAATGGGAATGCACGTATTGCGTTTATGCTGTGTTTTGTGTTTTAAATCTGCCTAGCAACAAGAAAATTTTTAAAAAATGAGAGAAAAAGCAAAATGCATCAAAAATGAGGCAAAAATGCAGCAAAAACGCCTCAAACGCAACCTGCATAGGTTTGAACCTGAACTAAAAGAAAGACGACGTATTCACGTCCGATGAAAATTTACTAACTTGCACCCTTGGTTTTTGTTCTACGAAAATTCAGAATCACCTGTCAAAAGCACTGTACTATCAGATAATCGGCCAAACGTTCCTCATACGGGAATTTTCAGACGATTTTCTTATTACATGTATGGCCATTGAACACATCCTCCATGACAGCTATATGATGGGAGTGCAGACATTCTGACATCTCACTGAACTCCGACAAGGGTGTGCAGGATGCATGGAGGATGTACCCTGGCAAGGGCCTGCATGGAGGGGGGTACCCTGGCAAGGGCCTGCATGGAGGGGGCACGCTGGCAAGGGCCTGCATGGAGGGGGCACGCTGGCAAGGGCCTGCATGGAGGGGGCACGCTGGCAAGGGCCTGCATGGAGGCGTACCCTGACAAGGGCCTGCATGGAGGGCGCACCCTGGCAAAAGCCTGCATGGAGGGTGTACAATGGCAAGGGCCTACATGGACTGGGCACCCTGGCAAGGGCCTGCATGGAGGGCGTACCCTGGCAAGGGCCTGCATGGAGGGCGTACAATGGCAAGGGCCTGCATGGACTGGGCACCCTGGCAAGGGCCTGAATGGAGGGCGTACCCTGGCAAGGGCCTGCATGGACTGGGCACCCTGGCAAGGGCCTGAATGGAGGGCGTACCCTGGCAAGGGCCCGCATGGAGGGGTACTGTGCTCAATGTAACAGGTCCAGGCTGACACACGTGCACACTGCATAGAGTCTATACAGAGTCTATGGGCCTAGCAGTCCTCCTGGACTCACCTCAGGATCTCCTCCTCTCTCACCCGCTCTTCTTCCCATAGGAATGCCCCTGTCAGTGCTGCCAGCAGCCTCCCCGTCTTCCCCGGCCTGTTCCTGTAGCAGACACCCCGGAGGAGGTTCCTGCTCTCCCTCTGCTGGCCGCTCCCATAGTGGCACACAGGAGGCCGGCAGGAGCGCAGCCACCCGGCCAGACCCGCCGACACACCGCGTACCACCCGCTGCCACATCCCGGAGCCGGAGTATCCAGCCTGCAGCACGCCTGCCACAGCGAGGCCCGAGCCACGCCCCCACCCCTCCAGAGATTGGGCGAGGCGGCCGCAGTGGAAGTGCTGATTGGTGGACGGTCGTGTCTGTCAGGGATTAAACTTCCAGGCTTGAAGCTCGGCCCTGTTCAAGGGCAACTGAGATGGAGCGGATAACGTGACCCGGCCACGTGACGGGCACAGCGGCCACCTGCTTAGAAGAGAGGTGCTCGGTGCATAGTGTCCTCCTCTGTGCCATACATATACATGCAGTGCTAAAGCACCTATCAGCTTGGACCATTTCTTCCTGTCCATGGCAACCAATCAGAACACTTCTTTTATTGTCTAACAATGACATTTAGGGCCGGTTCACACCGAAGAAACGCATTCCAAGTTGCATTTCCATGATGCATTTTTGCATGTGTTTTTGGATGCGTTCTGGTGTATTTTTTTCCTTCCTTCAATTCAAATAGGGACATGTGCTTTCTAGTGCATTTCAGGTGTGTTTTTGATGCGTTTCACTGCTTTCCAGTACAGTTCTGTGCAGAAAAAATGCAGCATGTTCTACTTTTTTTTTCTGCACCCGGAACGCACTGAAACTGCAAGCACTGGTGTAAACTATGACATTGACAACCATATCACCTACTTTCTGTGCGTTTTGGATGCAGAAAAAAAACTATGAAACGCATGTAGTGTGAACTGGCCCTTAAGTGTTACTAAACCCACAACAGTAAAATCAGTCTGTATATGCAGTAAAGCATGCTTGTTATACTCACTGTGGAACCTAAGGGGTTAATCCTGTGCTCTGTGTAAAAAGGCTGTTTGACCCTGTCTTCTCTGATCCTCCCCTTCTTCTACTGACCCCAATCCATCTGCTGATAGTACAGAGCTCTAGGAGACACTGCACATGCTCAGTTTGGTGTGTATTGCTAGAGAGGTTTTTTTTTTTTTTCTTTTTTGGGGAGGGTGTATGTGATCAGCACAAGGCCAATCGGTACTAACCAAGAAAAGGGTCAGGGATCATGCAGCCTCATAGGACAGTCAGAGCTGAATGAAACTCATCCTACAAGCTTTAACCAGTGCTCAGCTGGACGCTGATAGAAGTCACAAGACTGCTATATACTGATGATGAGAAAAGGTATTTAGCAGTTTATATTTACTACAATAATTACACTTCCATGTTCTGTGCACTGTGGGAGACAAGATATAGTGAATGCAAGGTCCTGGGTTTAGTAACACTTTATTACCATAAAGAAACTTGTAGCGAGGATGGATTGGGGGGTTCCTATTTTTAAAATTCTTCTGAAAATCCTAATTCTCTGGCTGTCATGTTGATCCAATGGTTTCAGTACATCGCATAAATCTGCAGGCCTGTTCCGCATCTGTGTCTTAACCGTTTCAATACCGTGCAATTTTACACCTTCCTGCCCAGCCCATTTTTCAGGTTTCAGCGCTCTCACACTTTGAATGACAATTGCGCGGTCATACAACATTGTACCCAAACTAAAATTTTATCATTTTCTTCACAAAATTTAATTGGTATTTAATCACCGCTGGGGTTTTTATTTTTTGCTAAATTAACAAAAAAAGACCAAAAATTTTGAAAAAAAAAAACACATTTTTCATTGTTTCTGTTATAAACGTTTACAAATAAATAATTGTTCTTCATAAATTTAGGCCGAGATGTATTCTGCTACATGTCTTTGGTGAAAATAACCCAAATTAGGATGTATTTTTTAGTTTGTAGGAAAGTTATAGAGTTCACAAACTATGGTATAGATCTGAATATTGATCAATCCTGAAGTACTGATGGCCAATCTAATTTCTTGAGGTCCAAGAATGTCAGAACAGTACAGATATCCCCAAATGACCCCTTTTTGCAGAGTAGACAGTCGGACGTACTTCATAAGAGGCATGGCAAGTTTTTTGAAGTTGTATTTTTTTGTCATAATTTTTCGGAAAATGAAAAAATTAAAAAAATTATTTTCACTATTTTTTTTTTTACATACTGTCACCAGTGCAGTACAGCGTCATCATATAACTGGCATGGCGGTGAACAGGGACACTGACTGGTGACAGTATGAAAAAAAAAAAATATATATATATATTTTTTTTTTATTTTTTTATTATATTTAATTTTTTATTACATTTTTTTTATTTTTTTTAAGATTTTTCATATTTTACTATGACCAAAGTAGTACAATGTTACCATAGTAACATTGTACTACTTTGGGGAAGTGATCAGTATTTTTTTTTTTTTTTTTTTTTACACAATTTGCTTATAGCAAAGAATTACTTTGCTATAAGCAAGCATTTACCTGAATGAAATCGATTCATTAAGCTTTTTTTTTTTTTTTTTTTTTTTTTTTTGTGATTAGCTGTGACCATTCACAGCTAGGCACTAGTATACAATGGATGGCATCATGAATGAAGCCATCCATTGTATACAACTGTCATGTGACTGCTGTGATTGGTCACAGCAGGTCACATGGTACCAGCAACGGGAGCCGGTACTCGGATCTGTCATCGGCCGTGTCCGAGGTGCACGGCCGGTGACAGATCGCACTGCTGCGCCGCTCTGCATTAGCGCAAACGGCGCATGTGCAGGAGCACGCCAAATGGCGTGCACCCGGAATGGAGAGACACTTCTGAAGCCGCCAAACGGCCATTGGCCGGGCGGCTAATGGTTAAAGTTGATGCCAAGCACCAGACGTTTTCAAAATGAGGTTAAAAAATTACAGCTTTCCTTTAAAAATGGGCTGTCTATTGCAATCTATATATCCATGGTTGTGATCATTTTTTAAACTGCCAAAAAAATAAAATTTTGCTTCCTTGTAACCATGGCAGCGGTACTGTGTGCAAAGAACTTCCCATCCCCCAGCTCATTGACTTCACTCACTGTCTGCTTAGGCTCCATGTACACAGGACACTTCTGAACAATGAAAACTGATTGCTGGAAAACGAAGGTTGAAAAATGTCTGTTTAGCCTCGTTTGCATACCGCGTTTATGAGCGTTTGCGTTTAGAAGTGTTTTTTAAAGATAACCTCAGGAGACCTTCCAAAATGCCCAGAATGCACTCAAAAATAGTAAAAAAATTAACTATTTCAGACATTTTGAGAGAAATAGAAAAAATTGTAAAGTGCTGCGTAAATTGACAGCGCTATATAAGTACCTGAAATAAATAAATAAAGAGAAGCAGAGAGAGCAGTATGTGTTGAGATTATCTGTCTTTTTTTTGTGGTGTTTGTGTTCCAGCTCATTTCTGTGCAGAAATTATTGCAGCAGTGTCTAACATATTTTCTTTCATGCGAAACCTCAAAGTATGGTGTGCCAGGTCCATTTGAGTACCGGGAAAACACTTTGCATGCATTTTTCATGATGAAAAAAGGTTCTGGACAGCATCTGGAAATAGACAAGTTAAAAAAATTTCCAAATGCAAACACTTATAAACGAGGTTAGCCGCGTTTACAAGCGTTTGGCGTTTGAAATGCTGATAAAAATCTACTCCTGAACGCAAGTTTGGTGCGTTCAAAAAAACGACTGCAAACTCAACTCTGTAACTGACTGTAAACGACATAGTGTACATGGACACATAGGAAAACATTAGGGAGAGTTCAGGGGCTGCTGAAAATAATGCTGAACAGTTCCTAAACGTGAGTTTATCAGCTGCAGTGTACATGAAGCCTTAGAATCACATTTTCAAGCATCCGCAGCCAGGTCCTGCACCAAGAATCTCTGCAGGGATGTTCAGGTAGAATGGTGGATGTCGGAGTGAGGAAATGTATTTTATTAAAACCTGGGGACCGATTATGTGATTGTAGAAGAGAAGGCACACACACACACAGACTCCTTGTGCTCACTTTTGAGAAGTGTTCTGACAAATGCAGATGAGGATCTGAAATAAAGCTTTCTACAGATCTAAATCCATGTACAGGGTGTATAGAAAAGAACCAAAATAATTACATTTTGTTGCTTTGGAGCCTGAAATGAAGACAGAAACAGATTTTGTTTTATCCAGCTGTATTTTATCAACTTATAACATCCAAGTAAAATATTTAACACCACTATGTCAGAAAAAGAAAAATCAAAAACTGAATCACTGAGTTGGAAAAGGGATCACCCCCTTGTATCAGTATTTTGTTGAACCACCTTTTGCTTTAATTCCAGCCTTTAGTCTGTTGGGATTTCTCTACTAACTTTGCACATCCAGACTTTGCAATATTTGCCCACGCTTCTTTGCAGAACTGCCCAAGTTCAGATCAATTTGACGGTGACCGTTTGTGGACTGCAGTCTTCAAGTCATTCCACATATTTTCAATGGGGTTTAAAGGAGAGTTCCAGTCTCCTCGACACTTTTCTACAAAAAGCACCTGCATTATTCTCTTCAGTTGCAGTATATAATTGGGAAAGTGTTCTAAGTGTATGTTGTTTGCTTACTTGTAAATGTGACATTTCTCAGCAGGATCCCGGCAGGCAGCGGCCATTACTAGTGTGCGTATCTGAAGCCAGCTCCTTCTTTCTTCTGGATTCGGTGCAGCTGGCTACTTAGCATGCACCTCCCGATCTCGCGCTTGCGCTGTAAGGACACGGCACACTGTGTTGTAACAATGGCGGCGGCGATGGAAGATTCCATCCCATTGTTATGAGAACCTGTCAATCATTCCTCCCGATAATGTAACTTCCAGTCAAGAAATACCGCAAGACTTCACCATTAGGCTTCCCAAAGACACCTGGGAAAACCAATGGCGATAGAGTCCTAGGGAATTGTATAATGAAGAAATCGCCTAGGCCAGTGTTTCTCAACCTTTTTCCAGTCAAAGCACCCTTTATAATTATGGACAGTCCCGAGGCACCCTCTAAAGTTATGGAGAGTCTTGAGGCACCCCATTCTAAAATGTGAAAAACTATTCTAATAGTTTTTTCTTTTCTTGGGAGACTGCATGTGATCAGCAGTGCTCTGCTGAACACTGATGAAAGTCACCAG